GGAGTTGCGCACGGGAACTTTTATGTAAGATTTAAGTTTTTTTATTTCAAAGGTCCTCATGGCTCAGCAGCAGAAGCATAAATATTACTAAGAAAGCTGATGATAAAGCTGAGTAAAAATCTAAGTATGATTATGAAGTGAAATTAAATATCTGACAGTGATCTTTACACAGTGTGGCTCTAATTCTTCACTTCACCATCTGTGTCGCAGTTTCCCTTCTCCAAAATGAGCATACGCATGGGTCAGAGCTGGCGTGAGGCACCGCACATTTTCACGTCTAGTTTGGATTATATAAATCACAACCTTGGCATAAAAAGTGGCGCACGCAAGTTTCTGGGCTCATATTGTGCGTACGCAAGTTTTATAAATCCAACCCCTGGACAGGTCTACTGTCCATCAGAGACACCTGGAAAGGTCTTGGTCCATCAGAGACACCTGGACAGGTCCCCATTCAACCAGAGACACCTTGGCAGGTCCCCAGTCAATCAGAGACACCTGGACAGTATGGGTGCAACAATACTCGTATCTGTATTATGTATCTGTACAATGCTGGTCTTTAAAATTTATTTTATCAGCTTGTCTTCTGAAGAGGCTCTATGTTGAAGGATCAGTGAATCTGTGTTCGACTACTCTACCGACAGGCTGCACTGTCGAGCACAGATCCACAGAGAAACTGATATTTCAGCAACATTTAATTTAAAAACTGTACTTTTGAGTTTAAACAAATGTTCAGAATTATTTCAATAAATTACAAGTTAAGAAGGGCATGGACATTTCTCTTTTTTGTATCGAAAAAATATAGAATTGTGAATTTTCTGTATGGTTGCAGCTCTACTGGACAGTTCTCAGTCCATCACAGGGACATCTAGAGATAACCAACCATGCATCCTCTCACTCACAGCAGAGACAGAAGAAGCTAACATCATGTTGTTGGTCTGAGGGAGAAAGCAGAGAACTCCAGGAATGATCAGTGGTCATCTAAACTACTAGAGGAGAATCCTTTGTTTACATTTTCCACAAAGTCCCACATTTAGTGGATTTTTACTCGAGTATAAAAAGAGTTCCAACCTGATTTGAGAGTTCTCCATCCTCAGAGAAAACTCCAMCCCCTGCAGTTTGTGCACCTCCTGGTACGCCCACTGTAGCTCCTCCTCCAAATGCTGATTGAACCTGATGGCTTCCTCCAGCTGCCCGTCACGAGACGAACGAATCAGCTTCAACTCCCTCAGGACAGGGTCTCCGAAGTCCCATTTCTTCTGGGCCCTCCTTGTTTCCACTGTTTGAGGACCCTCAGGTCTGGCAGGCGGTACCAGATTCTGGTGCACAAGGGCATTGGAAGATGCTGGGAGGGGGCTCCTTCCACGTCTGAGGGCCACCTCAAGGGCCAGACAGCGAGCATCACTCCCCTGCAGAGCCGAGCGCAGGTCCTCCACCAGCTCCCTGAGAGCTGCAGCCTCATCTGAAGGAGCAGAATGAAATGAGACACTTTTCAGAAAGCAGAAAATTTGTCACTGTACAAATTAGAAAATTGACTGCACTTATATAGTGCCTTTCTAATCCAGCCAGGATATTCAAAGCACTTCACACTACAATCTGTGCCCTCACTTACCCATCCACACAACACTCTACTAGATCTCCTACAAAGCTAACATGTACAGTCATCTATGAAGACTAATCAGTGCCAGTCACACTCATACAATGATGGGACACACATCAGAGGCATTGGGGTTAAGTATGTTGCCCAAAGATGCAACTGAGACAACTGGAATGGGGGATTGAACCAGTGACCTACCGGTTCCAGGACGACTCCCGTGACCACTGGGCCACAGCTGCCCCCAGAGCACAACAAAATTTTGATTTGGAACAACCCATCCAAAGAGACAAAGACAAGAACCACATACATGCCGGGGTGGGGGGGGAGGGGGGCAGGTCATCCAGGATACAGCTACAGGAAGGAGCTCCATAAAAAAACAGAATAAGAGCAAACATGAGGGGTAAATGAGGGATGAAGAATATCATTTCTCATACTGTGTCTCTGCAAGTACTAGGGTTGGGTACCAAAACTTGGTTCCAATATGGCACCGGGGCGAACATCAATGGTAGTACACGGATCGAAACAACTCTAATTTCAGTGCCTCAGAGCTGTTAATTTGCACCCTCTGGTGTTCACTGTTAACAATGACAGCCTCGGCACACAATCTTCACGGACGCTCTGGTACACGGTTCAACTCGGCTCGGTTTTGGCCCATTGTGTCTCTCTAAGTGCGCTCCACAGCTGCGCTGTTTAAAGGGATCCATAATTAGTTATAACATTAGACTTTATTTAATAAACATATATTTTAACTGTGAAATAAAGATTGTAAAAATACTGTTAGATGTTCAGTTTTTATCATTTTTAAGCTAAAAGTTTAAAAATATATTACACGGATGGGGCCATTTTATTTACATGCAAAGCATTCTGGGTAAATGATGACGAGGATAGGTCCTTGGTGCGAGGCTTCTAGCAAGCTATATCCACCCTGACGGTTAATCTTGGACAATATCTGACGATCTGCTCTTTTAAATGAAACCAGAGAGTGTTGACAGAGAGGAGAAGGTAGAAATGATTCAGCCTGCAACTGAAAGTATAGATGGAGGACAACAGAGCTGCTTCATGGAAGAAGAACATCAGCTTAGCCTGTTAGCTTTAGCCTTAGCCCCAATGCTATCATCATATATAACAGAACACAAAAATGACTCTGCCTGCAACTGAAAATATGGATGGAGGACCTCATTTTAGCTTGTTTGTCGTGCTAGCGCTAAGCTTATACATATAAGGCAAWATAGCGTCTGAGGTTCAATCTCCCATTCCAGCTGTCTCAGTCATTGTGTCCTTGGGCTTCACTTCACCTGCCTTGCCTACTGATGGTGGTCAGAGGGTCCACTGGAGCTGGTGCATGCCTACTTCTAACTTCTCCATAGTATTTTGATACATTTAGCTAGTCTTAACACTCTTCATCTTGGCTTTAGCTATTTAAAGCTTTCAATTTTTGCTAATTCTAGCTTCTTCCCGACAGTTTTGATATGTCTAAGTATTTTAGTTTTTAAACTACAGCAGATTAACGACGTTCAAGATTGTGAAAAAATTAGTTGGAATCGCCTTTTAGCCATTTCCTGAATTGGAAATTTCAGCTTCATGTTTCAGTCGTCCCACTGGCAGAAATAAACATCAACAAACTGATCTATTACAGTGGGAATTTTAATGATGACGTGAAACATCATCATGGAATGACGTGGAATGATGACGTTTGTGGTTAGTTAAAAAAAAGAATTCAATCACAAAGAGGATTGTTAAAGTACATTCATTCGGGGGGTTTTTTCTAGGCAGATGTCCATGTGTCCAAATGCTCTTCAAGCTCAGCTGATTTTTCGCCTCTCTCTGCCTGCTTCATTTCTGAATGCATATATGAGTTGAACCGGCTGGCTTCTCCATTGAAACACAGAGTAACCAGATAGATCCATGCAGGTAGTTTCACCCCTCTCCTCTCCAGAGGTTGAGACAGGCTGAGTTGGTCTGAACCTTATCAGATAGACGCTGGTTCAAGGTGCCGACTCAGCGATGCACAAAGCCGGTGCTGGGTTCAGTTTCTGTGTGTTAAAGTGATGTTAGCATCATTGCCAACATGGGCTGATGTTCAAACAGTAACAAACTTTCATCTCAGTTCTCGCTGTTCTAACTTCTGACTCACTGCATGGGCGTGTCTCAGAGAAGCTTTTATACCTGAACACAGAGCTGTAATGTAAGCATGTATCATTTTAACCAACAGGAAAATCCAGCTGCAGTAGCCACTGTTCGACCATTAGAAGACAGTACAAAGACGGTTTTAGACAAACTATTGGAGAATTAAACAAATTTACACRAAATTTTCAAAATTTGCATAGAAATATAAAGATAATAGTCTAAAGGCAATTTGGTTTATCTGCAATGGAAAGTTGATCGGGAGTTTATTTATTTTTAAATAAATGACACAGAAATAAGTAGGTTATTATTTTTGTTGAATATTTGTTGTTCGTATTATGTTGAATCGTGTTTCTTTTCCTTTAAATGGAGCTGTGTTTAAATGTGACTGAGCTGCAGCTCCTGCTCCAAGCTGAGTGAACAACAGATACAGCAGAGTCACACAGTCAGCATCTCTTATTAAAACCATTACCTGCCGGAGGTTACCTGTTAGCAAAATATTTCATGAACCACTAAAACAGATTTCGGTGAAACTAACCACAGATCAACTGATTTAATTTTGGAGTCAAGATGGCTGCTAGCCTGCCACAGACAGCCGAACTTACCCAACAGAAACACTGAACTAGTTTGGTGTGGTAGTAGCTGAGAGTCATCCACAGCACGGACCCTGAGGCTGGACACTTTGGTCCAGCCTCAGGGTCAGGTGATCAGATGACCTCAGTCACTCTGAGGAACGATTGGCTTCGAACTGTAGATTGAAAATAAAAGACCACAGCAGCAGCAGATCATTCCAGCAGGAAGCTCACTGTATGGCAGGCTGCTTTTACATATAATGGGCTTCACCACAGTTATGATCCAGGTTCCGAAAGTGATTTTATGACAGCTTAGTTTTTTTTAGTGAGAGACATATAAAATTCATCCAATGCAAATTAAATTGCAGAGTTTTTCATGTTATGTTGTTTTTATTTAAAAAAAACTTTTCTCATTTAATAAATATTAGTAAAATTTCTGCTGTTAATCACAATTCTTTGCTCAACATTCTGGTTTAGCCAAGGCCAAAGATCATGAAGGCGTTCAGGAGTTACTCATCTGAGGGTCAGGTGTGGTCTAAACTATGAAATGTTTAAGATGTTTATAAAATGTTCAACCCATAAACATTTGCACATAGAATTTAGAATTTCTTTCATTTCATTTATCTTGAGATGCTTAAGTTAAAATTTCAGGTCATGCAATCACTTTAAAATTACTTTTCAGTAAGTTATGGTTCAAATATAGAACTTTATTTTTGCTAGAATGGTAACAAATTATTTGTGAGTTAATATTGCCTTAATGGACAATGATTTTAAAAAAGTGAACCATTAAAACATCAATGTTAAATGTGATGTGTTTGCAAACTTGAGTGCACCTAACTTTTGTACTGGTGCACCTAAGGAAAAATGTTAGGCGCACCAGTGCAACCAGTGCAAAAAGTTAGTCTAGAGCCCTGACCTAACATATTTGCTCAAGAAAAACTTAAATCTATGCTGTGTGAAGTTATTTTTTATTTCTGGGAGGGGGAGGGCACCACAAAGCAGTTGCGCTTAGGGCACCCAGATGACTAGCACCGGGCCTGGTTCTGTTGGTACCTGGCTCCTCAGTGGTTCTGGTCTTGGGTCTGGTCTTTGGTCCCGGATGATCCCGGGTCAGATCAAAACTCACACACTTTCTCCTGCGGACCCGCGGCCACCGGACATGGATCTGCCTCTCCACCAGCTCCGTCTCCTCAGAAACCGGCAGCCGCCATGCGCACTCCCCGGCGCCCGAGCGCGCAGTGCGAACGCGGAAAAACCCGCAGAGCCGCGCGTGAAAATCTTTAAAAGAGAGTTTTTCTGGCAGCGCGAGGCATGTATCTCTAAACTCTTCATTCATCTGCTCCTGGTCCCCGGGTCCTCTCAGATCCAGGGGATTCTGTCCCCTCTCCGCTCCGGGGAGTCCCAGCGCGGCGCAGAGAGCGCGGAAGTCCTCCGCGCACACCGTGTCGTTCTGGTTCGGGTAGGCCAGGTGGTGGAAGACCTCCTGCAGGTACTGGTCTATTCCAGTAGCAAGGACTATGATTTGGTTGTCCGCGCACGGGTCCGGACAGTGGTAGTGGTCCAAGACGCTCCGGAGCCACTCGCTCTGACGCGTCGGCTGCGCGCGCAAAGCAGCGCGCTCCATGGTRAGCGGCTGTTTGTCCTCCTGGTTAGCAGACAGAACCTGTGAGCTGTGAGGTTCTGTTTCTGAACACCTTGTCTTCTGTGCGCGTGAAGTCAGGATCTGATCCCTGCAGGGACTCCACCCTGAGTACACACTGAGACCGCGCCCTTCCCAGTGTGCACCAATCAGAAGGCTGCATAGTCAGACCCAAAGAGCCGCGTGCCTGTCAAAACTTGGAGGAAGACCTGAGGGATTATGTTGCACCTGCAGGATTAAGAGTTGTGGATGACTCTAAGCTACTAACACACCGAGTTTCAGCTCAATTAAACTTTTTAGTGTTGGCCTAGTCATATTATCTGTGGCGGCCATCTTGAATCAGTTCCAGGTAATGAGGTATAGATGTTTATTTTATAGACAGATAAGGACAGATCAGATCTTCTGCAGTATCTCACCATCAGACTCAGACTTGCTGAAATGAAAAGGATTTAATCCCACAGCTCTGACGGTGAAAAACATGTCCTTCCACCTGAAGCGGAACACTCGTCTCAGCTGACAGCCAAAACAAAGCTTGTTGGATCTGCTCCCCTGGGCAAGACCAGACTCACTGCAGGACCCAGATTCCAAATCAATCACTGCTTCCCTCTGCAACTGTGTGTCCCACAGACACCTAACTGAGACCTGTAGACCTGTACCTCAGTCCTGTACCTGAGACCTGTACCTGAGACCTGTAAGTTAGACCTGTACCTGAGACCTGTAGACCTGTACCTGAGTCCTGTACCTCAGTCCTGTACCTGAGTCCTGTACCTGAGACCTGTATATTAGACCTGTACATTAGTCCTGTACCCGAGACCTGTATCTTAAACCTGTACCTCAGATCTGTACCTGGGACCAAAACCTGAGACCTGTAACTGAGACCTGTATCTTAGGCCTGTACCTCAGTCCTGTACCTGAGACCTGTGTGTTAGACCTGTACCTCAGTCCTGTACCTCAGTCCTGTACCTGAGACCTGTATGTTAGACGTGTATCTCAGATCTGTACCTGGGACCCATACCTGAGACCTATAACTGAGGCCTGTACCTGAGACCTGTACCTCAGTTCTGTGCATGAGTCCTGTATCTTCGATCTGTACCTCATACTTTTACCCCAGACCTGTACCTTAGGCCTGTCAGACCATGACTAGTTAACCAGGAAACCAGGTTACTAGAGAACAACTTAGCCAGGAAAAGGGGGGACCTGTTAAATATAGAACCTGGGAACCAGTTAACCAGAAAACAAGAGAAGCAGTGAACCAGTTAAGCTGGGAATCATTTTACCAGAGAACCAGGTAATCAGGGAACCAGGTTCTAGTTACCCAGGGAACCAGTTAAACATGGAACCAATTAACAAGAGAACCAGTTAAACAGGTAATTATGGAACCAGTTACCCAGGGAACCAGGTAACAAGGTAATCAGTAACCAGGTAATTGTGGAGCCAGTTAACCAGGAAACCAAGTAAACAGGAAATCAATTAACCACATAAACAGTTACCCAGGTAATCAGGTAAACAGTTAACCAGATTATCAAGTAACCAATTAACCAGGGAGTGGGTTACTCAGGTTACCAATTACCAGGTTACCAGTTAACCAAGTAAACATCTAACCAATGAGCCAAATAACCAGGAAATGAAGGGACCAGGTGATCAGGTAACCAATTATTCTGGAACAATTTAACCTATGAATCAAGTAACTAATCAACCAGGTAACCAGTAAAACAAGTGTTAAGATAACTGGTTAACCAGGTAATCAGGTAAGCATATAACAAGAGAACCTTAAATGAGGAACCAGTTAACCTGGGTACTAGTTAACCAGGGAACCAGTTGTAATAAGGTATACAGTTAACGAGTAAGCAAGTTAACAAAATAACCAGTTATCCAAAGAACCAGTTAAGTTTATAAACAGTTACCCAAGTAACCAATTAACCATGGAACATGTTAACCAGGCAACCTGTTAACCAGGGAATCTATTAACCAATTAACCAAGCAATCAATTTATCCAACCCATTCTCACTCCCATGTCGTCACATATTGACGCTTTTCCAAGGTTCCCTCTACGTCCGATTTTGACGCGCAGGGTACCCCCGTCACGTCAGTTACTGACGAGATGGGGCGAAATCTGTTGTCATATTTTCAGAAAGTGTAGAAAATGCGCAAAAACTACCGTTTCGAAGCCTGAAATTACCTTTGTTCACTTTAGACATCCTGTCCCTGACCCTAGTACCTAAAATTAACCATTTTTAGAAAATGTAGGAAATTCACGTAAACATGTTCCAAAGCCTGAAATTACCTAATATTCACCATGGACATCCTACCCCTGATCCCAGTACCTAAACTTAACCATTAATCCTGATCCCTCATGTTAACCTCAGACCCCCGACCCAAAGACCCCTGGTGGCGCAACCCGGAAAAGCCGCGGGCGTCAAGGACAGACGCGAGGGGGGTCACCTGATGCGTCAAAATAMGACGCAGAGGGAACTTTGGAAAAGCGTCAATATGTGACGAGTCGGGAGTGAGAATGTGTAGATTTATCAGCTAACCAGTTAACTAGATTATCGGGTATTCAGGTTATATGTTAACCATTAACCAGGCTATCAGGTAACCAAATAAACAAGTATCCTGTTAACAAGGTTATCAGTTAACCAAACAACCAGGGAACCAGTTATTGGGTAATCGGTAAACAATTAAACTAGTAAACAAATCAATTAGGGAAGTAGTTGGCTAAGGAACCAGTAAACCAGGTAACCAGTTACAGCAAAGAAAGCAATTGGCTAACCAGATAAACAATTAACCAGGGAACCAGTTAACTAGGTAAACAGGTAACACATTAACAAGGTAACCAGTTAACCAGGGAATTACCTAACCAGTAAAGCATGTAATAATTTAACCAGGGAACCAGTTACCTAGGTAATCAGGTAACCAATAAACTACGTAGCAGGTTATCAGGCAACCAAATACAGAGGGAACCAGTTATTTGGTAATCAGGTAACAATTTAACCAGTAAACAAATTAACCAGGGAACCAGTTAACCAGTAAATGGAGTAACCACATAACAAGGGAAACAGTTATTCAGGTAACTATTAACCAGTAAACAAATTAAGCAGGGAACTAGTTAACCAATTAACGAGTAAATCATGTAACCAGTTAACCAGGGAACTAGTTAACCTGGTAACTAGTTAATCAATGAACAGGTAACCAGTTACCCAGGGAACCAGTTAACTAGGTAATCAGGTAACCAACTTACCAGGTGTTTCTGTGATGGACTGTAGACATATCCAGTTGTCTCTGATGGACTGTAGACATGTCCAAGTGTTAATAAAACATGTTATGAAGATCAGCCCTCCTGTTAGTAAAATATATTGTTGTGAAGAACAGACTTCCTGTTTAGTAAAATATATTGTTGTGAAGAACAGACTTCCTGTTAGTAAAATATATTATGTTAACAGCCTTCCTGTTAGTAAAATATATTATGTTAAACAGCCTTCCTGTTAATAAAACATATTGTTGTGAAGAACAGACTTCCTGTTAGTAAAATAAATTGTTTTGAAGAAAAAAATGTCCTTTTAGTAAAATATGTTATGTTAAACAGACTTCCTGTTAGTAAAACATTTAATGAAGAACAGACTTCCTGTTAATAAAATATTTAATGAAAAACAGACTTCCTGTTAATAAAATATGCTGTTATGGAGAACAGACTTCCTGTTAGTATAATATGATATGAAGAAAAGACTTACTGTTGGTCTTTCAATTTGTCRTTTTGAAGACAGATGTTCTGTGAAAACAAAGCTGACTGAACTAAATGTTATTTCTCTGCTGAAAAGCATCCAGCAGAACTTATAACTTGTTATCTCAAGAAAACTATGGATAGACCAGTTCTGACCCATCTGATCTGATCTGAACTTGTTTACAGCAGTTTGTCCTCAGGTGTCTTTCCTGTAAGTTTTAAACATGCAGTCTTCCAGCCCTTGATTAAGAATCCTGCAWAAGAATCTTGTTATCAACTACAGGCCAATTTCCAAACTACCTTTTTTTTGTCAGAGATCATTAAGAAGACAGTTTACAACCAACTGATGGTCTTTTTGAAAGAAAAGTGTGGTTCAGATCTGAATGAGCAAAATTTCTATGTTAGCCTTGGGGATCATGTGTCCTCCTCTGCTCCTCTCTCATGTGGAGTGAACAGGGTTCAGTCTTAGGACCCCTCCTTTTTTGTTTTATTTACTTCCACTTGAGTCTATTTTTTAGAAAGCACACAATTTCTTTTCACTTTTATGCAGATGATTGTCAGGTTTATGTCCCCCTCAAGAAAAAATACTCATTCTCAACTGTTTAAATGTCTTGAGGACTATAATGCCTAGATGGCTTTCAGTTTTGTTGCACTTGAATGAAAAGAAGACTGGGGTTATGTTTTTTTTTGCACCTCCACTCTCTTCTCTTGTCTCTCTTGGATCTACAGTCCTTGATTCCATACATCAAACCAGTCATGGCAAATCTGGGGGTCATGGTGGACAGTGATCTTAGATTTGATAAGTGCAGTGGCGAAATCCAGCTTTTTTGTTTGTTTGTTTGTTTAAAGCAGCTGGCTAAAGTCAAGCCCATTCTTTCTAAAAGAGTCAGTAATTCATTCCTTCACCACTTGGTTGGACTGTAATGGGCTTTATGTATGGGTCAGTGCTTCCTCTGTTGCCCAACTCCAGGGAGTCTGAAATGCTGCTGCACATCTTTTAATTGGCACAAAAAAGCATCAGCACATTTTTCCTGTTTTAGCCTCACTGCACTGGTTGCTATTACATTTTAGGATTCATTTGAAAGTTATTTTATTTGTTTTTAAAGCATCAAATGGTCTTGCCCCACTCTACCTTACTGAGCTGCTTCACCCCCATAGCCCCTCCCATTCTCTCAGGTCACCAGACCAGCTGCTCCTGAAAATCTCCAAAACTAAACATAAGCTTTGAGGGGATTGTGATTTCTCCACTGCTCTCCTAAAATGTAAAACAACCTGACTTTGGGCATCAGGCAGGTTACTTCCCTGTTTTCTTTTAAAACACTTTTTAAAATCCATCTTATCTCTTC